GCTTATTTATGTATATAATAATAGCTATAGTGAACACAGAATGTTCAATCATAGTATTTCGCTATAGCAAGGTGTTACTGTATATAAACACGTCTATAATGTAGTTTTAAGAGTTTATGGCCAGCTTGAAACGACTGTAAAAATTAGCGGCTATAGAGGGAACGAGATCGATGTATCCCAGACTGAGGGGATGGCAGTAAAAATGATGATGAACCATAATTCATGATAAAAAGCGGTATAAAATATTTAGGGGGTTCCCCCGTGGCCATGGTTACTCCCCATTTACCTCCTGTTAAAAATGAAATGGCCAACGTTTAATGAGGCTTCACTCCGAATTTTCTTTTATAGATATCCTCAATCTCTGTGTATGATTTATATGATGTTCTCAACTTGATAGGATTATGATATTATCTTCATTTGATATGGATTCGTTATATAAGAAATATGTATTATATGTATATAGAAATGTGTATTAATTTGCCTCATTGAAATATCAGATAAAATTAATGAAAGATTTTATACAAGATAAGTTGATCATTGTTTATGTAAAATATAAAAACATAATTTGGTAAAAGTAATGCCTGGCTTAAGGCGTAAGAATAAAAAATAAATGAAAACTTATTTACATAATGTACAAAAGATTTGAGCCGGCCATCGGGAAACAACAATAATGAGTTTTTATAGGGTAAGCGTGATCTCTGGCGGTCGATTTAGCAGAGTATTTGAATCAATGAAATATAATTTTAAATAAAATAATATTTTAATATATAGAAGCATAAGGCGCTTCTCCCGTCAAAATAAACGTCAAAAACTAACGCCATCTTTTGACCGTCGCCGCTTCTCAATTTCGCCAAAGTTGGTGTTGTGGCTTTGTCACCGACCCGAGGCCGCTAGTTTGCGGCGACAGTCAATAGATGGCGTTAGTTTTTGACGTTTATTTTGACGGGAGAAGCGCCTAATGCTTCTATGGATCAATTTCCTCCCGGCAATTTTTCCATCTATATATATATATATGTCATAATATTACCCTTCCAGGAATAATAAAGTGAATCTACAGTCGACCAGAAAGAGACGTAGAGAGGAGGATGTAAAGGCCGGTCACTTGATATATCAGTCACATTCCAAGGGGCCCATTTTCGTAGAACCTCGGGACTATTTTTGGACAGTCGGGGGGTGGTGGCGACACAAACGGTCGTTCCGCGGTGACAGCCGCTCGCGCTCGCTCTCTCTCGCTGGTTGCCTGGGATTTCTCTTCCAAACTTGTGGTTTCCTTATTTCTCTCTCCCCACATTATTATCATATTGTCACATATATATATATATATATCATATAAAGTAATATATTCCAATACCAAAGATTTCTGATGGTCACACTCCTAGGGATCACCTACCTAAGCCCCTAGAAAATCTTCCAAGAAATAAATCTGCCCACCTCAGGACTTACACTGGCATTGTAAATAAAACCAAGAAGATGTCAGCCCGGGTCTGTACGTGGTGGCTCCAGTAACCTACTGTGTGGGTCAACTATATATAATATACAATATAACCTCCCTTTTGCGGACACCCAGCTAGAGGACACCTCTCCACAAAGAACAGTTTTCATTTGTAAAATTACTATTTTTACTATTTATCAACTCTCCGGTAAGAGGACACCTCTCTCTAATGGACACTTTAGCTCTGTAATTAGGTGTTGTCCTTTACAGAGAGGTAGTTCTACTGTAGCAACTCTCTGGTGAGAGGATACCTCTCCCTAAAGGACACTTTAGCTCTGTAATTAGGTGTTGTCCTTTACAGGGAGGTTCTACTGTAGTAACTCTCTAGTAAGAGGACACCTCTTCCTAAAGGACACTTTAGCTCTGTAATTAGGTGTTGTCCTTTACAGAGAGGTAGTTCTACTGTAGCAAATCTCTGATAAGAGGACAGCACTCCCTAAAGAACAGTTTGGCTCTACAATTAGGTGTTGTCCTTTACAGGGAGGTAGTTCTACTGTATAAAATCTCTAGTAAGAGGACACCTCTTCCTAAAGGACACTTTAGCTCTGTAATTAGGTGTTGTCCTTTACAGAGAGGTAGTTCTACTGTAGCAACTCTCTGGTGAGAGGATACCTCTCCCTAAAGGACACTTTAGCTCTGTAACTAAGTGTTGTCCTTTACAGGGAGGTAGTTCTACTGTACCAACTCTCTGCTAAGAGGACACCTCTCCCTAAAGGACACTTCAACTCTGTAATTAGGTGTTGTCCTTTACAGAGAGGTAGTTCTACTGTAGCAACTCTCTGGTGAGAGGATATCTCTCCCTAAAGGACACTTTAGCTTTGTAATTAGGTGTTGTCCTTTACAGAGAGGTAGTTCTACTGTAGCAACTCTCTGGTAAGAGGCCACCTCTCCCAAAAAGACACTTTGGCTCTGTAATTAGGTGTTGTCCTTTACAGAGAGGTAGTTTAATGTAGCAACTCTCTGGTAAGGGGCCACCTCTCCCAAAAAGACACTTTAGCTCTGTAATTAGGTGTTGTCCTTTACAGAGAGGTAGTTCTACTGTAGCAACTCTCTGATAAGAGGCCACCTCTCCCAAAAAGACACTTTGGCTCTGTAATTAGGTGTTGTCCTTTACGGGTAGTTCTACTGTAGCAAATCTCTGGTAAGAGGACACCGCTCCCTAAATAACAGTTTGGCTCTGCAATTAGGTGTTGTCCTTTACAGGGAGGTAGTTCTACTGTAGCAACTCTCTGGTAAGAGGACACCTCTCCCTAAAGGACACTTTAGCTCTGTAATTAGGTGTTGTCCTTCACAGAGAGGTAGTTCTACTGTAGCAACTCTCTGATAAGAGGATACCTCTCCCTAAAGGACACTTTAGCTCTGTAATTAGGTGTTGTCCTTTACAGAGAGGTAGTTCTACTGTAGCAACTCTCTGATAAGAGGATACCTCTCCCTAAAGGACACTTTAGCTCTGTAATTAGGTGTTGTCCTTCACAGAGAGGTAGTTCTACTGTATAGTAATTACATAATACAAAAGGTTTCTGGAGATAAATTTCTTTTCATTTTTATTAATATAATCTCAGGGTTTCTGGTATCACTACTACCTTTCTATAGGAATACATAAAACGAATATTAATAAACGCCGTTAGATAATAACTAATTACAAATATGGATTTATAAGGATACATTTTGCATATTGGACCAATTAAAGGAACTCACTGTCTTGACGGTCACCGAGATGGTACATCGAGCTCAAGACAGAGATGGCTGGCGTCGTGTTTGGGATGTAACACGTAAAGTACAACGTTTGATCGCGAATAAAATGATTCGATTTTGCATATTGCTTGATGTTATGAAATATTTTTATTCAAGTTAATTTGTATTTACATATTTTTTGTTTATTGTTTGTTTTATTTTACTTATTATTAGATTGACAGATATTTGATTTATTAATTTGATGTATTATAATGTTTTATATATAATTATCTATTGGTATTATATATATTATACTAGACGAATGACCCGGGCAACGCCCGGGTTTACCCGATTAAATGTTTTATTCAAACACTATTCGTTACAATTATAAATTGGCGCCGTGGATGTCACTCTTGTGAAACGTCCCGCTCCAAACTTTACATGTACATTAGGTCAGCTGATATTACCTCCCATCTTCACCGCTAGAGGCGCTGCTCGCGAGCTAAGTAGAATAATTTGAATATATAGTTTTATTAATTGATTTATATATTTTTTAAAATAACCTATCGTCTTCCCCGTATGTTTTTACCTATGTATGGAAATTTTGGTTTGAATTAGTGAACTACTGCGAATTTGTATACCGGACATACAAACAAACATACAAACATTCATTTTTATATATATAGTAGATATTATCAGGATATATTATGTTGTAAATTTCTGGAAAATCTATTGATGCTATTATATTTTGTATCCTGAAAGCTATCTGTATTTCAAACCTTTCCCTGCCTATTACACGATTGCGTGTGATTAACAGCCTTTTTTCAGAAACCTAAAACACGCTTGTGTCTAATCTAAGATCCAAATTATTGATAAAATATGTTTAATTAGCGTTGCATGTTAACTGTATTTGATTGTATTGGAGAAGTTAATCGTTGTTATCTAGTTATAAATGGCTAGAGTTTTGACTTTTTGTATATATTGCTGATATCACACAAAATATCTTGTTGTAAATATATTGGTAGATATAGTGACAGAGCAAGAAATAAGCTTTATAATGATACTAGCCGAATGACCCGGGCAACGCCCGGGTTTTACCCGATTAAATGCTTTTATTCAAATACTATTCGTTATAATTATAAATTGGCGCCTTGGATGTCATTCTTGTGAAACGTCCCGCTCCAAACTTTGTGTCTGAGAAGCGATATTTTTATAAAGAGATGATCTGGCTTTGTGTCTTCTGCTCGAATGAATGTTTTTCTGTTAGAATTTTGTTCCTGCATACTAAAAATGAACTGGCTTCACCCGTGGTCTCTGCTTTTTGGAATTTTTCCGGATATAATTTTGTATCTGATAATCAAATATGATACAGCAATATTGTCATAATCATTTTCTGACTAAAAAAAAAACAACTATTTTTGCCCAGAACCTGTCAATTTCAATTTTTCTTGGCTGAAAATGCGACAAATATATCTTCCATATTATTTTCTATGTCCTGTTAAAACACGTTTTACATGTACATTAGGTCAGCTGATATTACCTCCCATCTTCACCGCTAGAGGCGCTGCTTGCGAGCGAAAGAGCAAATTTGCAACTCAAATTTGCAAATAACTCGAAGAATATTCGGGATAGACACCTGAAATATTCAATATAAGTTTTTCCAGATTCTACTATACATACTGCTAAAATTTCAGTCATATTAGTTACGTAATTTACGTATATTACGTAAAAGCATTCCATTCACAAAAGCAAACGATGACAAATTGATGACTCTGATACTTGTATATTTTAATAATAATATAAATGAGTTTTAAAAATTGTAAAAAATTAAAAATGCATCGGCCGGGAATCGAACCCGGGCCGCCCGCGTGGCAGGCGAGCATTCTACCACTCTGATACTTGTATAAGGATATATTACTTGTAAATATTTAAAAATAATTATTTGCAATTATAAACGATTATATTTGAATTAATGAAATCGGCCATTATTTTTGCATCAACCTAATATTTCCTTCTTCTTCTCTTCTTCTTTGTATCCATTTAATCATATTAGGGTATCAAGCTTGTAGAGCTCCATAATGATTGGATGAAATAGAATGCATATGCTTTTGTCATTAAGACTGGGAGCACTACTCAGTAGCAGGCTGACTTAGCTCTAATATGAAATGGCCGCCAAAGACATGAGAAACAGATGTCATGTGCTGCTGTTCCTAACATGGAGTACAAACTCATCCAGTATCCCTGGAACCCTTACAGGGTACTATCAGCCAGGCCAGCTGAGTCCAGGTTTTTTAGCGAGCTTGTTACTGCTCCCCCTCCTCTTTTTTCATTCGGGCTTGGGGCCGGCAAAGGCGGAGTTATAAATATTTATTTATTAAATAAATTGTGCTATAAGCGAATGCCGCCACCTAGAGCAAGTCTGATCCTATGTTAGTGGCACTGGCTAAAAAAACAGGTAGAACTTCTGGCATTGAAAGAATAAAAGCCTTCGTTTTCTTTCTTTCTTTTGATTCCCGGGCCGGACGGAGACAATACACACCCATCCTGAAGAGGCTCCACCCGGACGACGACTACAGTCCCCTCGTTAGACCTAGCGACCCCCAACACTCCAAGAAGGTCACACCCCCACCCTCTCCACTCTCCAAGAGGAGGACGATGCTCTAGGCACTGCGAGAATTAAAGCCTAATCTACAGGATAGAAGGATTTGTGATAACTGAAAACTTGATATGAATACACAATAAAGCATAAGACTCACTCTTGGAAGCCGATTTGTTCATTATTTATATATATTGTCACAGTAATAAAGGTGACGCTTGGGTAGAATAAAATAATAATTTATTAGATGACTTTAAATAGTTAATTAGTTTGAGGGATAAAAAGAAATAAACTAAGTTAAATGGATAAAAAAATAATGGTAAATTAAGGAAGTAATGTCAGAGACCCAAACAGCTAGCGATCGGCTACACCCCTCAAGATGGCGACTATTGTTTACAAACTTCCCGCCTAGCGTGCCCGCCATCTATCGGAGCTTAGGTACATAACACTTGCCAAGCTGACAGCGCGCGCCACCTATCGGGGCTTAGGTACATAACATTCGCCAAGCTGCCGATGTATTATTTACAGTTACAAGCTATGTACATTTTTGGTTATGACAATATTTTATATTAAAATTTAATAAATTTTGTAAATATATCTATGATTTTCTCTCTTGGTTTAAAAAATCTTAATTGCTAACTATATATATATTTGTGTATTTGTTTCATTGATTATTATTATTATTTAATTATTATTTTTTTGGTTTCAATTGTTTCTGTGAAATAGTTCTCTGATTTAAGTGTTGTTGCTTGACGCAATCATCCTTTGTGGGTATATCGCGTCTGATTTGATAATAAATAAATAATAAATATTTTTAATGAAGCAACTCGAATAGTTATCAAAAGAGAAATTTCAAAGTAAGTTTGAAGTATATTTAGAAATGCAAAAAAAAAAAAAACTTAACTCTTCAACATAATCACCGGAGAAGTAAATCCAATTTTGGAATCTGTAAATTGACTTAAAACTTGGGTTCCCATTTCACTTCTGTGGAATTGCCTTGGGAAAAATTGATTAACTTGATTCGATCCAATATTAATGAGTATGCATCAAGATTTTGTATTACTACTTAAATATTTTGTGATAATGTATCAATATTTAACTAGTTTTAGGAAGGTAGATTTACCAACGTCTTTTCAATCCATAATCCATTTATGAACGTTTGAGTAGTTTATTTGAAAATTTTATTTATAAATGTTGATATCATTTGAGAAAAAATTCAATTAAGGTAAGAGTTTCTATCGGGAAATATAATGTAATTGACTAAAGCTTTCGGCCCTTTGAGCTCTTTTACAGAGTAAGTTTAATTATAACACCGCGAAGACAGTAGGCTTTGACTCTTATGTATATATTGTCGCGTATATGAGCCTGAAAACACCTACAACCTCCGCCAATAGATGGCGGTTTTGCCTATTTCCCGTCTGGAAGTAGTGGGGATATCGCCGACTGCTGTGGTCCTGTTTCCTGGGGAAAATGATTGTAAATATCCGTTGATATTGGCCCTGGTATGTAAAATAATGTAAATACCCGTTACTTGTTAATCGAGTTATAATTAAAGTGGTTAAAGAAGACAATAAAAGGAAGGAGTGTTAGAAGTTTTGATGCTGGGTGCTGTTATGACTCTCGCCAACACCACAGTCGCTACTCTTTTGGTAAGTCTCTCGTTTCCCCCCATCAGTGGTGAGGCCGAGAGATACTGCCAGAGGAAAGGAGATCCACTTGAGTAAGGTCTTTGGGTGATCTGCAGGATAGGGCTGCAGAGGAAAGCAACGGAGCACGGGGTGGGTGAACCACGAAAGAAGCGGCGTAGTCGTGAAGAAACGCAGGGGTCAAGCGCGACAATATGTTCATTCTATATTCATTTTGAATTATTATAAATATCAATATTGTTTTAAGGATATATTCAAGTATTATATTTTTGTAAGCAACCAAAATATCATTTTGACTATGCAAGGAAATCATTCACAAAGATCTGGGTATGAAAATAACTACAAGCAAGTTTTTGCCTCGTGTGTTAACCTCAGAGCAAAAGAAGACACGTTTGGAGATCAGTTGAAACATGCTCCATATGGTTGAAAACTATCGGAATTGGCAAGATAAAGTGATAAAGGGAGACTAGACATGAGTGCATGGATACGATCCCGAAGCCAAACGCCAGTCTAGATAGTGGAGGCACACGGAATTAACCAAAACCGAAAAAGGCTCGAATTTGCAAATCGAAAACAAAGCTCCTGCTTGTAACATTCTACGAAAACAAAAGATTTGTGCACCATGCATTTATTCCAGATGAAGTCATAATAAATCAAAATACTTATCTTTACATATTTCGGCGCCTGGGGGAATCAATCAGAAAAAAATGACCGTGAAAATGATCCCGTCAAGAATGGTTTTTCCATCGTGACAACGCACACCAAGACACAGCCCATTCAGTACTCGCTCTTTTGACCAAAATCAACACCTCTCTCCTACCACAACCCTCATATTCTCTAGATATAGCTTCTAATGACTTTTTCCTTTATTTTAAATTGAAAATGATCATGAAAAGGTAAGAGGTTTGACACAAAAGAAGAGATAAAAAGAAAATCGCTGTACGTCTTGAGACACCTTACAGAGGATGATTTTGCAGCAAGCTTCGCTAGTTGGGAGAAAACGTCTTCTTCAAAGCAGTGTCTATTCACCATGTTAATATAAACTAATCCTTTATTTTTTTCATTATTCCAAAATGTAATATTATATACACTCCTGTTCTCTCAATAAACAAATTTCATGAATTATAAATTTCATCATCAGATGTCTATTCAATTTATAAGACCATGTTATATTCTTTATTCTTTGGTTCCTCCTATAGCTTTTAAGCGTTATCTCAATATATATAATACACACTTATAGTCAAATTTTAAGCAAGTGAAAGTCTTTAATATCACCGGACATCTATATATATATATATACATATTAAGGATACAGAGACAATTTTGTTCACACTTGGTTATCTCGTATGTCTTCAATAAAGGTCACTGTAATATCTTCATATTTATTGTCTGAATCCCGATATACATGCTAAAATATACAACTTTCTTAAGTTTTGTTCACACTTGGTTATCTCGTGTTGCTTTAATAAAGGTCACTGTAATATCTTTCAGAGTTATTGTCTGAATCCCGATATACATGCTGAAAGGTACAACTTCCTTAAGTTTTGTTCAAACTTGGTTATCTCGTGTGTTTCCAATAAAGGTCACTGTAATATATTTCAGAGTTATTGTATAAATCCCGATATACATGCTGAAAGGTACAACTTTCTTAAGTTTTGTTCTCACTTGGTTATCTCGTGTGTATTCAATAAAGGTGACTGTAATATCTTTCAGAGTTATTGTCTGCATACCGATAGAGAGAGATATGCTAAAGTATAAAATTTATTTAATCTTTGTTATACAATGTATATAAAAAGCAATCTGTGTGTGATTTCTCTTCGCAAATCTATATAATAAACTAAAATGCACATGTGTTCCTGGTCAAGATATGCCTTCTTTATTTTTAATATCAACTCCTGACCTTTTTATTTTTTCTATTATTTTTTCACATGATAAACGTATTTACGTATAGGGTTGGAATTAAATACCTATTTCTCGGTTTCTCAACGTTGACGAGCGCCAACAGCGCGAAAAGGCGTTCGTAGATGGCTTTTTCTTTATTTATCAAGAAAATGGCCAAATATCAAGGAACAGGTTAAATCAGTGTTTAGTTTATTTCTGTTCCACTAGATGGCGTTCTGTCATCTAAAAAACACATTGGTCCTGGTCAGGATATACCTCAATTATTTTTAACTACACTAATATGTATTTAAAGTAACATTTAAAATACAATATAACGCGGCTGATGATTGTAAAACGAAAATTATAACGCGGTATAATATTAATTTTCGTTTTACTAATATGTATGAAAATTCGAAACTATTATAGACGCGTATGATTCTTTTGAAAATTAAATAATTTCTACTGCCCTTACTGCAATGGAAAAATTAAAGGGAGGGCCTGGCTCATCAGTTGTGAATTATGCTGTCCTCAAAGCTTATGTCCATAGTTCATCTAAAATACCCATTCCAAGAGTCTAGTATAACTATAAAAGGAAGTTCCAAAAATGCAATATAACAGCGGTATGGTAGATTAAACTGGAGAAGCCACTGGGAGGGTTCACCACTGATGAGCCAAGCCCTCCTTTTAATTTTTCCATTGCAGTAAGGGCAGTAGAAATTAATTTTCAAAAGAATCATACCCGTCTATAATAGTTTCGAATATTCATAACAGATGGCGCGA